TATAAAATTTGTTGAATCGAATATATTCCAAGTTTATAATTTCTTTTTATTTTGAATAATTTATTAAAGATGTAATAAAACAACCCAAAAATTAATAAAACAATATCTATTTTATTGAATTTGAAAAGTAAAAAAAAATAATTTGAATATTCTAAAGTTAGCGATGTAGTTTTTTGGGCTTTTTTTAGTGTAATTAGATTGAAGAAAAAGGAAAAGCATTTGATGGGACATGTGGAAAAATCCATTAATATTAGTAATCATATTTAAAATAATTAATTCATAATATTAAATTAAAGGAATATTTATTTCAAAACTTTAAATATTTTAGAAATCTCTAACTCTAAAGGTTAAAAATATCTGGAGGTCTCGAATTCGAAAGAAAGAACAAAAATCTCCTTGTCGCTATAAAAATTCAAATGTGGTGACTTCAGACTCTTCGCAAAGTAGGTGATTACGTTGGGGTTAGTCGGCTCACGTAGCGGATTAGATATTCAGGTTTATCAAAAAAAATATTTTAGAAATCCAAAAATTATGCTTTTGTAAGTATTTATTATTGATGTCATAATAAACATTCGAATGAGTAAGATTCACAACTATGATTGACAACTTTTTTTTCCTAACAGCTAATGCTATTTTTTTTTTCTTTCCTAACAGTTAATGCTATAAAGCAAAGGAAGCTACCTAGCCTAATATGTATAAAAAATACTTATAAAATAAGTGGTTTTATATTCATAAAATATTTAAGGTTTCTAAGAGTGTTTCTAACAAGGATTCTTATAAAAACCCATTTTTTTGAACTTTTTTTTTGTCATGTCGTTTCTAACTCATCAAATTAATAATTTACATAAAACTCAACATGGTAATTCCTATAATAACCCTTTTTATGGGTCATATGTATAATATAAGTTATATAATTATATACACACACATATATAAGACGATAATCAAATGAGAACCATAAAAAAAATTAATAACTCATGACAACTGAAATTTACCACAAAAAAGGTTATACAACTAATTAACCGATTCACATATGAAATAATTAACGGGTTAACATATGAACATATAGTTTATATATGAATCATATGGATTTACATATGAATTCGTTTACCGTCTATTTATAAAAGTAACGAAACTACATTTCCATCTTCCATATACCCTTGCGAGAAATTATTCAGTGTTTCACGGTCAAAGCTGCAAACATTGGATAATTATCCAGTGTTTTTTTTAGAGGGTTTGAAGTTTCTTTATCCATTTTGCAGAATCTTTTAAAGATGAACTAAGAAACTATATATTTTTGCTTATATTTGAACGTCTCCAATGGAAGTTTTTATAATAACCTAATTTTTATAAGATTTTTTTTATGGGTCTCACATATTTTTTTCAACATCAATAAGTATTATACATATATTTATAAATGAATATATATATATATATATATACTAGAAGCGTACTCGCACAATGCAGCGAGATACATCATGATTTTAATATTTCATTTTATTCCTTATCTCAGTCGATGTTATAATATGACTTTATGT